ATCTTTTAAATTAGTGCAATGTACACAATAATTATTCCTATACAGTAAATTTGTTAAATTGTTTTAGAAATTTATGGAACTAATTAATAAAGAGTGTAGAGAAAAGAATGGGTTTTTTTAACAATAAAAGTGAACAGAAATCAATAGCCCGCAGAATTATATGTAGCCTACCGGTATTTTTATTTATTTGTTAATTATTTTATTTTAGGAAATTAGGGAATGAAAAGTGAAGAAAAATTAATAGCCTGCGTAAAATGTTGTATTTCTATTTACCGGTATTTATTTATTTGTTAATTATTTTTAGAAATTTGTGGAACTGAAAAAGTGAAGAGAAATTAATGGCCTGTTTGTAGAGAAATGAATAGTTTTAGAACAACAACAACAATAAAGGAAATATGTTTCCAGAATGAAAAAAATATTTATGAAATGAAATGGGGTTTAACGTCCACTTGACACAAACTAGGTCATTTCGGGACTAACATATGGCATATGGTGGGCAATTCCACGCTAAAGTAATACAATTAGGTGAAAAATTTAATTAGTTGATAAGTGGACAAAAATAGTGTCTTATGGTGGGAAATAATCCATATTTTGAAGAAAAATCTCAATTTGGGTGGAGACTCTTCCAATTTTTTTTTTTTTGGGGGGGGGGGGGCTTTTGTCAAGGTTTACCTTGTAAATGTCGAATTTATAATTCTATTGTATTTTCTTACTTTGTGTTTGTTTGATTATTCTGGCTCATAATGACATTATGGCATTAGTTATATGACAATGTATATAAACATAATATTTAAACATTAAAATATAAAAGTAATATATTTTTGTGAAGGTAACCAACATTGAAAAATATCACCATGAGAATGTACGTCCGTTACCAAATATTTACATTTTTTTTTCTCTCATTCATTTTTTATATGGAATTATTTAAAACTTCATATCTAAAGCTATAATAACCCATTCTTACTATAATGACTGTGAAAAGAAAAGATTTGCAAAAATTCTCAGAATAACTTGGGTTTTCATAGATGTACGTCCGTTACTTTTCACAGTACCAAATATTTCCATTTTATCTCTCTTATTCATATTTATTGATGGAACCGTTCAAAAACTCATTTTTAAAGCTAATAACATCATTCATTCTTATTACTATGACCGTAAAAAGAAATCATTTGCCAAAATTCTCTGAATTACTTAGGGTTTCATAGATGTATGTACGTTCGTTACCAAAATTTTAGGGTAAAAATGTACGTCCGTTGCTAAAATTTTAGGGTCACAATATTTCATTCAATCAAGGAGTAATGTTTTTAGGAAAGTAACTGCTCCATTAATTCAAATGAGTTAACTATTATTATTATCTATAAGTCCGATTATTTGTAAGTTTACATATCTAATGTAATGGGTTACATCCGTTACCAGAAAATATGTACGTCCGTTACCACAATAATTTCTAATTTACTGGGTTACAAGAATCCAAATGTGAGAAGTGATTATGCAGTACACATGTAGTATTAGTGCCCTTTCTTAAAAGGATTAAAACTTTTAAATTCCACAAGACAATTCACAGAGTTTTGAAACTATGTTCATGCAGGCAAATCATGGTGACTGTTCATTTCTGTATGTCTGTTACCTATACTTTGAAGAGCCAATATTTATTTCCAGTGTTCATGAACAAATTGAATTATATGTCAATTGATACTGAAATCATATGTGTTTAATGCTATATAAAACTCAAACAGTTAATTATTCATGGTTAGAAAATATTGGAAGTAATAAAAATATGGCGAGTTCAAAATGTACGTCCGTTACCGTGGAATTGCCCTGGTTTAATTTTTTTATTTCAATAATTCGCTTGCGCGTAGGGGTCTTTAGCAGTGAGAGTAAACCGGAGGACCTGGAGAAAACCCACGAGGTTGGACAGGCGACCCTACTCCTTGTCACGTACAACCGGGGAATCGAAACCCCGCCAGTTGACTCTATGACACATAGGCCTACGAGTTAGAAGATATGGTGGCTGTATAATTTAATATTATATTTTTTTTTAAAAAAAGGTGTTAAATGTGTCAAATTGTGTGTGTGTGCGGGGGGGGGGGGGGTGTAGGCGCCCAGGGCCTAGTTGTGTGAGGTTGCGGTTGAGTAATGAGTGTGTTTGTTTTCGGGGAGCATTGCAGAGACAGCGTCTCGTTCGGATGGGACGAAAAACCGAGGTCCCGTGTAGGCCTACACCTTGGCGTGCACGTAAAGAACCCTTGTCAGTTGGAATTCAATTGCTGTACGGGCAAAATTCCCCTTAGAGCACACTGTATGGTGTATGACCGTCTTCATTATCCCGCTAGGACGTTAAACCCCATTTCATTCTTCATTAGCCATAGGCTAATTTGTTTGTTTTCGCTTGTTCAGCTGAACTTGTTTGTGTTTATTAGAAAAATATTATGACATGAAAATTTATTATATATCTTAAGTTTCTTATAAAGATTTAGTAGTTAAAAAGGGTTTCTTTTATTTTAAAATGACTTTTAGATTAGGTCTTCACATCAAATTAATGACATTAATTCGATTGTTATTGAGTAGGCCTATTGGCGTTTACATTGGAATGAGCTTGACCCTAACCCAGTGCTAGAAGTAGAAGAATGGATCGATTTTTGATAAGTACAGTTGATAAATCAATCTAACCCGTGAAACGCTATTCCACTACCCTTTTTCGGGGGTTTCGAGCAGCCAAAACAGCAGCAACTTTCTGGCATATTGATTATAAACCACGATTTAAAAGATCTAATGGTCGTCAGCGTCAACTCCCCGGAACTAACATGGCGGACAAGGCCTCATGTCAGCACGCTGTCACGTGATCAGTGCAGACTCTAGTTTCTATATATAGCTCTTTGGTATACACCAATGTAAAATTGGACACTTAAAAAATAAACTTTAAAGAATGTCTACTTCTTGCTCAACCATAGATAATACCATCTTCAGTTTTGCGATAATAATTGTATTGTATTATTAAGGTCCATGGATAGCACGGCATTAGAATATAGGCCTAAATCTATTCTTATTCTTAATAATAATACTAATAGCCCATGGGCCATGGGCCATATTGAATCTTTGGTTCGTATTCATGTAATTCAATTGTTTGCAAAATGTGATTATAAAGGATTTCATTCTATATTCCATCTTTATTAACCAGCGGCTGCCAGGCAGGATATGCCCACATTTTGCAAGAGATGGATAGAGAACAAGCTAAAAACAAAAACGATTTTTTTTTTTACAATTATGGTCCATAATCCAGAAAGTTATCGTCTGAAATGCGCAAATATCAAAAGGGACTGAGATTTTGGGAATATAAAGATATGTTTTAAGTTTCATCAAAATCTGATAAAATTTGTGACCTCTAGAGGATCCATAACCTTTGTATTAATTTGCGTACAAAGATCATCCATTTTGTCGGGCACTTTCATTTCGATTTTCCCGAAATTCCAATTTAACCTTCATTATGGTCGAATGGTGGTATATCTAAACGGCTGTTAAAATGGGGAAAAAAATTGTGACCTCTAGAGAATCCACAAGCTACGAATGTGATTTTTCCACCAATCAGGGGCAATAATAAGGGAAATTACGTCCGGATATGTGTGATTATCAAAAGGAACCAAGATCTTTATGATAAAAACATATATTTAAAGTTTCATCCAAATCGGATAAAAACTGTGGCCTCTAGAGGGTCCACAACCTTGATATACCATATTTTTACACTACTTGCGTACAAGAGGCGGTCATTATGTCCATCAGGTTTTGTCCGATTTTCTCGAAATTCGAACTCAACCATCATTAGGGTGTAACGATGATATACATGTACTGTACAAGCTAAAAACGCGATTTTGCGTACAATCAGGGGCCATAATTTAAGTTACGATCCGATATGCACGAACATCAAAAAGAACCAAGATCTTTGGGTTATAAACATGCATTTCAGGATTCATCAAAATCGGATCAAAATTGTGACCTCTAGGAGGTCCACAACCTTGATATACCAGATGTTTACACTATTTGTACAAGGGGCGGCCATTTTGTCCGACAATATTGGTCCGATTTTCACGAAATTCGAACTCAAACATTATTCGGGTGTAACGGTGATATACTAAAATGGTTATTTAAATCGGATAAAAATTGTGACCTCTAGATGGACCACAATCTAAAAGCGCGATTTTTCGTACGTTTTCCCTCGAGTTTGATTATCCCCGTTATACCATGAATCTTATATTATAGAGAGAAAAATGGGGTTTAACTCCACTCGACACAAACTAGGTCATTTCGGGACTAACATATGGTTCAATTTTATTTCAATAATTTGCATGCGAATAGGGGTCTTTAGCAGTGGGAGGAATACCCAAGAAAACTCATGAGGTTGGACAGGCGACCCTACTCCTTGTCACGTATTAGCGAGGAATCAAAACCACGCCATTTGACTCAATAACAGACCCGATTCAACACTCACACATTAACAATTCGCCCCCACCCCCGTATATTATAAGAAATGAAATAAAATGGGGTTTAACGTCCTACTGTTCTGCTCCTATACTGGGCTAATGAAGACGGCTATATTATAAGGTCCATGGTTATATGAATATGACAGGAACATACTGAAGCCCTATACATAGCCTCAGTTTAAAGATGCATTATGTAAGTGCTAAACATGCCTATTGCAGGTCTTTTTTGAATTCGGTTGTTATTTAAATTATTAATTAGGCATATGGTTCGTGAAATTAAATGGAACATCTTCACCATTTAATGATTTAAATCGAGACTTGTTTATTATCATAGCAATGGTACTTGACAATCAAGACTATCTTTTCAACATTTCAAACCCTCTTAACTTGGTTTAGCGTAAAGTGATTTGTTGAAAAAATATATTAATTTTCCATGATCCAGCTCTGTATCTACCTCTAATTTAATGCATCTCTAATATTTTTTTTGATAGATTTTTTTCCATTTTACTAACCTTAAATGAAGTATTAACCACATTCAACTACACATTTATTCTATAAAGCAATATCATACAATATACACAATGTACAACTATCATAATCATTAAAACAACTAGAATACATCATGGGAAATAGTTGTCAGTTGAAAAGCAGAATATAGAAATCCTTAATTAATAAATTTATCGATTCCAATCAGTACAATATACCCACAAAGACTTTATAAGTCTCTGAATTTCAGAAAATGGTTTGTTCTAAATACCATGGTTGCTGAATCAATAATAAGAATAGGTCAAAGCAAGATTTATTTATTTGACACATATATCATTGCTTTATGTGTATTGGAAGTACATGTAAATAAATATCAATAAATAGATACAATAAATAACACATAAAGGAAGCAAATATTAGTTTTGGAACATCTGTTTATGAGACACTGTTATTATTATTGTAATATCAGGATTAGAAAGAAAACAACAAATTATTAAATTATATTCCTTAACAATTATTTTTAAAATAAAATCCACCCATACATAACAGTTCCTTTTAAAATTAATGTCTTTTATATATTGAGAATAGAAAAAGACGTAAAGAAATAAAGTGTTTAAGTGTTTTGTTTGTTTAATCAAGAGGCGTATTTTAGAGTCCAGTCATGTGCTGATTTGTTGTATAAACACCGGTCTGTTTTGTATGCTCTCGCTATTTCCGGGACAAGTGGATCATCTGGATTAGGATCTGTGAGTAATGACGTTATTGATAATAGAACTGAAAAGGACAAAATAATTTTAATAAATTTAAAAAAAAAAAGAAATACATCATTAAATTAGTACAGATATAAATAATTGTAAATTTCAAGAAATGCTATCTTTGGGACTCTTTTCTTTAAAAAAGTAAATATATATTGAGGTATGATGGGTTCAGAATTTTTTGCCAGGACAGCGACAATTATTTCAAATCTTGAACAAATATTCACCACTTTATCATCTAAAATTTTGAACTAGTAAAAGCGCCAAACTTTTTCATTAGGACTGAATTTTTTATATTGCTCAGACATTTCAATAATGGGGTAAACAAGATTGACAAATCTGATTAAAATACAGATCTACATTTCATTCGTTTTTTTTCTACTTTCAATGGCCTCCACTACGTGAAGATCTGACCAGTTGTAGTAGGAGGTCGTGTCGGGGGTCATACGAGCGGGTCTTGACCCTTTGATTAACCAATCAGCGTTGATGTTTCTAGTGGGATACCCACGCCAAGAACTCGCTGCAATAAACTGTTTCTTTGGCTAATCTCTCAAATCAACCAGAATGCAGGTTATATAACAACTCTTCCAGTTGTGTAGTAAAGACAAGTAAAACGAAATTTTGAACTATAAAAAACGGAAAGAAACAGGATCTGTGTTTTAATCAGATTGTTCTATTGACAAAATTTAATGACATTCAACCTGGGAATAAAAAATAAAATACCTTTAGAGACTGTTAAAGCAGGTGACCACTGTGATCTTAATATATCAAGACATATATTACCATTACTGTTTATATTGGGGTGATAAATCTTAGTTGTAAAAGCAATCTGAAAGTAAACAAAGAGCAGTGAGTGTTAACTTCCACATGACCTCATATAGCAATTTTAATTCTAATCAGTTATGGGAAAAAACTTTAATCTGCAAAATCCAAATGAATAACTCTTCAAAGTTAAATGTATCAAGCTGAATTTAAAATCCTATTTGGGACTACAAATGTAGAATAGTATTGTATTCATCCATTTTCAGAAAATTGGAAAATTTCTGGGTTGACTATTGAACACTACATTCATTATTGAAATAGCCATGGCATCCACGATGCATGTTAGGATACAAACTATTACAAACTTATTTTATTTGCTCATAATTTTGAGTGAGTGTACTTATTCCCACAACGAAATTATTGTACCTTTATAGAATTATCTAAGACTTTTATGTTTTATGAATAATATTGAATTATTTGATCATGAAAAACTAAAAGTTATTGATGGTGAGAATTATCATCAGTGTTAGTAAAAAAGAAATGAAAATATTTAAGCCGGACCAACTCTTTCTATGTATGGATTTTTGGCAGTTACATGGAAACGGTTCCATTACATTTGCCCGACTTTTTGCTGGTGAAATAAAGAATACCGTTTTTTGTTTTTTTTAAAGAACATTATTACCTTTGGAGGTTTAAAAGGATAATCTGTTGGAAAGTGAACTGATAATTTGAATGCTCCACCATCATATGGACTGTCAGGCTATAAAATACAAAAAAGACTGCTATAACAAAATTATTGCTTTTTAAAATAGAAATAAAACATAGATTGGGTCTTGTTAGATGCCCTGCACCTAATCAGCAGCAAAGTTGCTCATGCTTATCAAAGATAGGTTGCCAGGCAACAAAACATACGCCCACAGCAGCTAAATTGTCCAAGCAGGCGACAAGGGTTGTCGCATATTTATTCTTTTGTAGGTAATTAGGGGAATTTAATAGACAATTTCATACAGATGACATTATAATTTTCGTCGTTTGAGGGATCACAAGGTTCTAAAAACTAAAACAAGGGCCGTAACTCTGGAAATAATCTACAGAAATTGTTGAAATTCGACAGGCTTTTTCGTTTTACTAACTTAAATAATGCATATAAATTTCATACAGATCAGATGATAACTTCTGTCGTTCGAACGTTCACACAAGTTTCAACAAAGTAAAACAAGGGCCATAACTCTAGAAGTAATTGACGGAAATTGCTGACATTCAATAGGCTTCTTCATTTCACTAATTTAAATGATGCATATGAATTTCATACAGATTAAGTGATAACTTTTGTCGTTCAAGTGTTCACAAGATTCAACAAAGTTAAACAAGGGCCATAACTCTAGATGTATTTGTAATTAACGGAAATTTGCTGAAACTCAATAGGCTTGTTTGTTTTACTAATTTAAACGATACATATAAATTTCATACAGATCGGATAATAACTTTTGTCGTTAGAGCATTCACAAGGTACAACAAAGTGAAACAAGGGCCATAACTCATGGCGTAATTAACGGAAATTGCTGAAATTCAATAGGCTTCTTCATTGCACTAATTTAAATGATGCATATCAATTTCAAACAGATCGGATGATAACTGTTGTCATTAGAGCGTTCACAAGATTCAACAAAGTGAAACAAGGGCTATAACTCTAGATGTAATTAACGGAAATTGCTGAAATTCAAAAGACTTGTTTGTTTTACTAATTTAAACGATACATATAAATTTCATACAGATCGGATAACTTTTGTCGTTAGAGCATTCACAAGATACAACAAAGTGAAACAAGGGCCATAACTCATGGCGTAATTAACGGAAATTGCTGAAATTCAATAGGCTTCTTCATTGCACTAATTTAAATGATGCATATCAATTTCAAACAGATCGGATGATAACTGTTGTCATTAGAGCGTTCACAAGATTCAACAAAGTGAAACAAGGGCTATAACTCTAGATGTAAATAAACGGAAATTGCTGAAATTCAAAAGGCTTCTTTGTTTTACTAATTTAAATGATGCATATAAATCAGTTGATAACAAATTAAATAGGATTCTTCATCTCACTAATGCAAACAACATATCAATTTAAAAAAAATCAGATGATAAATGTAGTCTGTAGAGTGTTCACAAGAAATTGTGGACAATGGACGGACGGACGGGGCGACGGCAATCTACGACCCCATTTCCATGTGGGCATATAAAAATCACATCTCAAATCTCAAAGGCATGTTTTAATCTATTATAAAATCTACTAATTAGAAGATAAATGTTACACTTTGTTTGTTCTATATTTCACCCCTCTTGCTAATTTGAGATCTACATTAGTTGTGAGTAACAAGTCTTTCCAAAGTCATATTTCGATGATGACATCATGAAATTTCCATATAAACAAGCCAGTGTCGACCTATAATTGATGGGTATAATTTGGTCGTATTATTAGACCAAGTGAATCTATGTCGGGAGATTATCTACCGTTGATATTCTGGATCAGTGACTTTAACTTGAAGAATACAAGACAGTATGACAGTAATAACATTAACATGTTGACATATAAAAGGTATTTTACTTACTGGACCCTGTATCATTGCTTGCCAGTGAAAAACTGAAAAATGTTCAATAGTCATAATTGAAATTAATGAATAAAAAGCTTTTATTTAAACGTGGGAGATAAAGAGAAATGGGTAATATCAGGACTAACATATGCATCAATTTTATTTCACTAATTCAGTGGAATGTAGGAGGAGGTCTTTAGCAATGAAAGCCTGGGTGGAAAACAGAATACCAAGAGAAAACCCACTAGGTTGAACAGACAAATCAAAACTACGCCAGTTGACTCAATGACAGACCTTGCGATCTAAAATGCACACATTAGACCATTCGACCACACAACCTCCCTTTATTTAAATGATAGAGCTTATACAGTACACTGAAAGATTATTAATGAATATGAATATCTACAATATTGAAATCATTTAAGTATTGCACAAGTACATACTTTCCTTGATAAATTTAAGACTACAGATTAACCATTTCATGTAGAGGGAATATAGAAAAAAGACAAATCGACACAATACAAAATGAACTCAAAGGCATTGTTTCTGACAAAGCCTAAACTTGTGACTTGACATTGTCTTGAATTGACAGGTTTTATATGTCCCCTTAAACACAAATAATGTAGTTTTAGGTACATGTACTTACTGTCATCACCAACTGGACCTGCTGAACAACCTGCTGGAGGATCTATTTGGAAGTCTATTAATTCCTGAAAAATGAAATAAAAAAAAAGAAATTCTATTATAATTTCAAATACACAGTTATAATTCTTTGTATATATTTCAGAAATACCAGTAAGAAGAAAGTATGTTGCAATTGTTATTACATCATGTTGGTCTCTTAACAAACAATGTAACTTATATCCATTTCAGACTACTACAGAAGAAATCTGGTCATAATCCATTGTTATAACCCTATCTTTCAGTTTGCTTTCAATCTTTAATTATAATACTTAATATGTAAGCTTACACCACGTTCAAGAACTGTGTGAAATAGTTGACAGACTTTAAATTATACAATTGTGTAATATTTTATTACAAACATTAAGAAATTCACTGTATGTAATGCTGCCAAACAATTTCTTTCTCCAGTATTCTAAAAAAAATTCCATATATATATACACAAGAACATATATATTTAAGTTACATAATACAGCATGCTTAGCTGTCAATCACAAGTTCCTTGGTCACAGAGTATTGTACCAGTGTTCAGATTTTTGTTGTCATAATAAAACAAGAGGGTTATTTGTTTCTGGAACAAGAGAACAGAAATCAGATTTTTGGTGGAAGATCTATGTTACATGTCCATTTCAGTCCGTGAAAAAGGACGATTCTTTCTGTAAATACTATGTAGACGGTTATACAACTGTATTACAATTGATTAACTCTGTAGTGTCAAAGTCAAACAACCAGGTCATTTCAGGACTAGCATATGGTTCAGTTTTATTTCAATAACTCACTTTATGTATGGGTCTTAATAGTGGGAGGAAACCGGAGGACCCGGAGAAACCTACATGATGGTTTTATAGGCAGGCAATCTACCCCTGTCACATAAAAACCATTCCACTTGATTCAATATCAAACCTTACATTCTAAAGCACACATTTGACCATTTGGACACCCAAACACCTTTAAGGCCAAGGGGTGGGTGGGGAACAACTTGTTCTAAGGAAAACAAGTGAAACTACAAATGAGATAATGGCCCTAAATATTTCCAATGAAATGTAAACTTTCTACATTTTATTAGTTTCCCCCATACTGACTTTATAACTCACCTTTTTTATTCTTTTGCCAGCCATTTTGTTTTAAATAGGCCTATTAATTTACTGATAATAGCAAACAGGTAAATGTGTTGTTAGGATATAAAGCCTACAATTTATTCTGAAATTAAATAAGAACTCATGTTGTTATGTAAACCTATGAAATATTAGAATAATCTAGAACCACACACGCTAATCATTATTTTTAGGCATAGGGTTTTCCCAAATTCCATTGTCATTTACCTAGTTTTATGATCATGACTCATCTTTGAACATACATACTGTTTTCAATTCACTGTTGCTACATTTCTCACAAATAAATATAATCGAATGAAAAAAAAACCCCAATTACAGTTGTGAATGACATTCATATTATATATTTACTAAAGACAGAATTCATAAATGAAATACGTCTTATTAGCTCAGTCAAACTCATAGTCATACTGTAACTACAGTCATACAGCTTTATAATTATGATACACAGTCGACTACTCCATTTGACCTGTAAATTCCCTAACTGTACACGACAAAATATACTTATTCTCAACCTTTAAACTATACAGAATAGAAAGAGGGTTACAAGTATATACATCCCAATACACATACGTCTTAAACACAAGATAATGAACTCACATTGTTCTTTTGGGTTTGTTTTTCTCGACAAATTGATAGCCTGTTTCTCTCCTTCAGTTTAGGTCATCACCCTATCTATTTTTAGACTTTTTCTTTATATGCGCAATGATATTTTCTACCTACGTCATCGATACACTTTTGAATAGTGCGTTATATATAATTTTTCACCCAACACTATGCCACAAAATAGGATTTTATGAATAAAATACTGACTGATTTTGATAGAAAATAATACTTTACCAAAATACAAAGGACGCTACACATGGATTTTTCTTTGACGCGTAGTATTCAGGATTAGTGTTAGTCGGCTACATCCGCTTGAAACATTAATAATCTGCAAAATAAAAATCGATTTTGTGATTTTTATTGAATCGTGGGAGTAAAACGTATATCCCGGGTAAAAATTACTGGGTACAACTCTGGTGGAAGAATAAATCAGCAAATAAGGACACCAAATAATACCTCTCTAATTTTATTTTACCGTCATAAGCGACCTAAACAAGGTGTTTTTCGACAACGTTGCCCAGTCTCTTCATAACGGTCTTAAACCATAACGGCCAAAATGCACTATTATCTCTGATGAATATGTGGATAGAGGGGCGAGAAAAATTCTACATATTATTAAAGTAAAGGATGCCTTTTTCACATTTCAACCAAGCTATTTGGAGACATTGCTATGCTATTTTAAAGTAGCTAAGTCTCTAACTCAATATCATCCAAAATCTTCGACATTGAAAACATGATTTATTTGTCAATTGAAATCAACATTGATGTTGTGATCAGATTACGGGGAAAAGATGGGCTTCTCATATCCAAAGACAAAATAAACATTTTACCGTTGGTACACGCATTTCAGCGCTATTTTTAACAAGGGACTCGTAGAAAGAGGCTAATGTCAAACGGTGACGTCATATTCTTATCTGGAGAGCATGAGCAATACTATCGGTATAGAGTGGAATAACCAGACGCTAGAGATTGCCATTGGATTGAGACTACTGGTGTATTTCGCCGAACATAACTGATTAGAAATTGCATTAAAAACAGAAACGATTGAATGTAAATTTATATACATTCACATTACATTATTATATACGTTGCGACCCAAAATATTAGCGATTTAGCTCCTTTAAATTTATAGAAATAGATATCACTGGATTGGTAATGAAAAACAAATATTAATTTAAACTGTTTTGAATTTTGTTTTGACTAGAACGGTTGGCCGTTATGACTAAAATGTTTTGCCGTTTTTACAAAACAAAACAGTCCCTAGTATGACCGTTATGCCCATAACCCGGTGCCGGCGTAGTCTCTTATGTCAAGAATACTATGCCAACAAGGCAATAAAACAACTTGTTATTCGAGTTACATTTCTTACTCAACATGGAGTCTGTCTCGACCTTAATTAGAGTATCTTTACCAAGTTACCTAAGAAGTTTGCCAATCCCTAATACACTTGGGGGTTTCGCAAAATTATCTGGCAAGTCTGGTTTTTTGTTTTAGCCTTTGTCAGTCTCGTGCGTCTCGTATAATTAACAGTGGTAGTGTGATTTCGGCACTATAGGCTGTGGGTCAAACTTCAAACGTTTTTGGTTTTTTTTATATATATAGATCAACATTTTTTATTACATAATTATTATTATTATCTTCTGGTTCCATTATCTTACATGACATAACAGTCATAGTTCTTCGCTCCTAGTCCTTGCGGTTTGATAATGAACATCCATAAATTGATAATTAAAGTAGCTAACTCTCTAACTCAATATCATCCAAAATCTTCAACATTGAAAACACGATTTATTTGTCAAATTAAATCAACATTCATGTTGTGATCTTACCGGGAAAAGATGGGCTTTTGATATCCAATATTTAAGACAAAATAAACATTTTACCATTGGTGCACGAATCGTGTACCATAAGGCGCATCAGCCCCAGTTAAATCAAGAGACTCGAGGGACGAGGCTAGACACATTGCACCAAATCAAATGGCGTATGTAGACTGGAATAACCAGACACTAGAAATTTGCGCTTGCTTGAGACTGCTGGCTTATTTCGCCGAACATAACTGATTTGAAATTGGAGTAAAAACGGAAACGATTGAATGTAAATCAGTTTATACACATTCATATTACAGTATTATATGCGTTGCGACCCACTTTTGTCAATTTCTAGGTCCCAAATGTTAGCGATTTAGCTTATTTACCGTATACCGCACTTTACTATATTTACTATACGCTTCCGTTTAACATGCGCAGTTCTCTGATACCTGGACTTAGCAGTTTTCATTTTGGCGTCTGACATTAACCCATAACCCAAACCCTAACCAAACCAATCCCTAACCCAACAGTTCTATTCATTCTTTGTCTAACATTGCTTTTTTTTATGATTGTTCCCACAGTCGGGTTCTCTGCTATAGACTCGCAGCACCATCTGTATTGAACATAGAAAAACATACCACAAGTCAATGCAGAAGTAATTAAAAGTGGCTGATCTACAAACAATAAAAAAGAAATAAAGATAAATGTGCAGAATTGACTAACTAGACGCAAACAACTGCCATTCATTTGGAAATGAAATGAAATGGAGTTTAACTTCCTACTGTTCTGCTCCAACTGGGCTAATGAAGACGGGCATACAGTGTACTATTTGCCTGGGCATCGGCACTATGGCCTACTCTTATATCGAATTCCAACTGACAAGGGAAAACCATGTCGGAAAATCCCAATGAATTTTCTCTGCTAATGCAGGGATCAAACACGCGACCTCCAGGCTAGCGAGCCAGCATCTTGGACACCGTGGCTTCCCCATTCAGTTTGGACAGCTCACATATTTAGCAAATATAATTGATTACAAAATTACAATAAAAATTGAAGGTAAATCAGTTTATAAGCATTCATATTGCATTATCAATAAATGGGGGTTTGGATGGCCGAATGGTTAGCATGTGCACGCTGTATCATACGATCTGTTATTGAGTCAAGTGGCGTGGTTTTCGAATCCCCAGTTGTATGTGACAAGGAGTAGGGTCGCCTGTACAACCTCGTGGGTTTTCTCTGGCTACTCATGTTTTCTTCCACCGCTAAAAACCCCTACGCGCAAGCAAATTATTGAAATAAAATTGACCCATGTGTTAGTCCCGAAACGACCTAGTTCGTTGAGTGGATGTTAAACCCCATTTCTCTCTCTCTCTCTCTGCATTAATAAATGTACTTTTCAACCCATTTTTTGACTATTTTTAAGGCTCCAAAGAATAGAACCATGCATGTTTTAAGAAGCTTATAGATCACCACTGATCATGAACACCCCAGTCTCTCTACTGTCATATATCATTACCGCATGCTTGTACACCATTCAAAAATACCTTGTTTTTTAATTAAAAAATGCTTTGTTTTTATTAAAAAATACCTTGGTTTTATTCAAATATACATTGTTTTTATTCAAAAAATACCTTGTTATTATTCAAAGACATGTTCTGTTAATTATCCCTCTCCTTCAATAACTGTGCTATTGAACGAAACAACTGAAATTGGTTTTCATTCATGGGTTTGTTCTCAACCGTGCATAATTTTCTTTACAGGACAAGAATGGATTGCCCTTGTACCTTTTGTTGGCACAGTATCACTTCTTGTTTATGTAACTGTTCAAGCTTTTCTTCCAAAACCTGAACCCAAGCCACCACTAGTTAATCTCAAAGTTCAGAAAGAGAGCCAAAAAGTTGTAAATATGGTTGATATTGAAGATCTTGGAGATAAAATTAGCTATTGTCGTTGCTGGAGGTCGAAGAAAGTAAGTAGATTCTCTATAGACACTATAAATGTCAGAAACTCTTGTTAGTTTCCTCCACATCATCATGTATAGAGGAGTATATTGGACAACATTGAATACTTGAAAGAAACCTTTTTTTTTGTTGGGGGGGGGGGGATATTTGTGTATTTGATTCTGATAAAGTATGAGTCATGAAATTTGATGTATAGTTTGTTTACATCACAACCTTGACAAAGTTGTGTTGAAGATTCTGCTGAGACTAAGCAGGGATAAGCAATTTGGTTGGTCCACTGACACAATAACATTTTTTCAAACTTACTATAGATATTCATAGGTTCATTTGATTGCATAATGATAAAAAGCCTTCAAAATATGCTTATGATATTTGGTAACCTAAAAGCTAGACTCCTCATTGGGATGAAATTAACATTAAAGGCTATGGGGAAAAATTTGTATGCTTACCCCAGTTGTCTTTATTAGAGTTGCATCCCTTTAATCCAATCTCAACTTATTTGTGTTGACATAGCTTGGATTGCATCAGAGATGACATTGTTATAAGCCAAATATTTATTGTACTTATCAGATATATTTTCAGTTCAATTTTTATACGCCTACATAGAAATGTGGACGTATATTGTCGTCGCGCCCGTCCGTCCGTCCGTCCATCCACAATTTCTTGTGAACGCTCTAACGACAAAAGTTTTCTTCCAATTGTTTTAAAATTGATATATGTTGTTTACATAAGTGAGATGAAGAAGCCTATTTAATTTCAATAATTTCTGTTTATAACGTCTAGAGTTATGGCCCCTGTTTCACTTTGTTGAACCTTGTGAACGCTCTAATGCTAAAAGTTAACATCCAATCTTTGTGAAATTTATATGCAATATTTAAATTAGGGAAACGAAGAAACCTATTGAATTTCAGCAATTTCTGTTTATTACTTCTAGAGTTATGGCCCTTGTTTCACTTTATTGGACTTTGTGAATGCTCTAACATCAAAAGTTATCTGCCGATCTGTATGAAATTTACATGTGTCATTTAAATTAGTAAAGAGAAGAATCCTGTTGAATTTCAGCAATTTCCGTTTATTACTTCTAGAGTTATGGCCCTTGTTTCACTTTGTTCAACCTTGTTAATGCTCGATTGATGAAAGTTATCATCTGATATTAGTGATATGTATGAAATTTATATGCATCATTTAAATTTGTGAAACGAAAAAGCCTGTCAAATTTCAACAATTTCTGTAGATTACTTCCAGAGTTGAGACCCTTGTTTCAATTTGTAGAACCTTGTGAACCCTCAAATGGCAAACATTATAATCTGATCTGTATGGAACTGTCTTGTAAAGGCCCCCCCCAATTACCTGCAAAGGAATAAATATGCAACAACCCTTGTCGACCGCTCGGACGATTTAGCCGCTGTGGGCATATGTTTCGTTGCCTGGCAAACTATCTTAATAATTAATTCTCATCTGCTTTCTCATTTTAGTTTCCATTATGTGATGGTAGTCACAACAAGCACAATGAAGATACCGGTGATAATGTTGGACCATTGGTACTCAAAAGAAGACAAGCTCAAAAGTAACAATTGTTTTTGCAGATCAGAATCTGTTTGTTTGAAGCATTATGTAATAAAAGTGAATTCATGATAATACTGTATACTAGAAAACATACTAATAGATTTTTATGCATTGATTAAAATTAAGACCAAATTATGTAGTTTTAAAATACATGTATAGTGTATACCTTTGTCAAGGCTTTGATTCAGTGATACTTCCCTGTTAATTAATCAATTATATAATCTTGTCTCAACAAACTAACCTTAATTCATTCAATCTAATTAAAATCAGTTGTTAATTATGTTTTGTTTCAATGTTGTACTGCATTAATATCTGACATATTTTCTCAGTGAAAAGTGTTCAGTCAATCATGTTGGTTTATTGACCAATCAAATTATCTGTATTGGTATACAGAGCTTTGCTTTATGGTGAATTATATGAATTTTAAAACCCATGTGTGTAAGAGTTGATCTGCTTAGTTTTGGGTCATAAATGTCTGCAATGTCATCCTAGATGGAAGCGGGGCATAAACCCCTATCTGAGAAAGTTAGTTTTGGGTTAAAATGTGACAGATTGATATGCATAGAACTGTCAGTGGCAGAACAAGATTGTAAAAGAAAGGAAGTTAGATTATGATGTAGTGTATAATTCAGAAAATGGAAATAAAAGTAGAAACCAAATTGTAGTCTTAATTTTAATTAGAATGTAATTTATTTGTGTAAAACAAGCCACTGGACTTGAATTGTAATTAATGTAAGATTGTTAAACTGGACTTGAATTGTAATGATATGTTAATTAGATAGTAATTTATTAATATAAAACAAGCCACTGAAATGAATAATGCATGTACCATTAATTGGGTATTATTGGTGTTTGTCTGCTAGTGCATCATGCATGCAATTTCTTAAATAAGGTTGCTGTTAAAAGTTTATGAAAGTTTGAATGATTATCACATCATAGTGCACTTCTCTAAAAATCAAAGTATGTGTAGTTGCTTAATTTCTAGTATTGTTATATGACTGTTTCCTGTTTTTACTGATTGTTTATGATGAATCATTGAATGACTATATTATGATTGGTGATTGTTGTTCTAAATGTGCCATGGTACAATGTACTTGGAGGGTTTTTATGTTTAAATATAATATAATAATATATACAGTTTTTGGATAATAAATTTTGTATCAAAAATATTTTATGTAGTTTATACTATAGTGTATTATGAAAATGTAATTATTATTCCAACAAGGGGGATTGGATGGCTGAATGGTTACCATGTGTGCGCTGTATCATACGGTCTGTCAACTGACCTGTTTTCTATTCCCCGGTTGTACGTGACAAAGAGTAGGGTCGCCTGTCTAACCTCATGGGTTTTCTCCAGGTCCTCCAGTTTCCTCCCACTCCTAAAGACCCCTATGTGCAAGCGAATTATTGAAATGAAATTAAACCATATGTTAGTCCCGAAATGACCTTGTTTGTGTCAAGTGGATGTTAAGCCCCATTTCTCTCTCTCTCTATGAATCTAACACAGAATTGGGGTTCTTGAAAATGTTTTGCATATAAACAAGTATGACCATACTATGGGCAGGGAACAAAGTGACGTCATTGCAGCCATCTTTAAATTGTCTATCCATGGGATACAAACATCCCAGAATAAGATTAGTACTAAAACAAGAAGATGAGTAATGCATGGGACACAGGGCAAGGTTCCAAGTATATTCTAAGACAGTGGAAATCTGTTAAGAATTTCGGTATTTTATCACCTTATATCCATACACTTTATTGTGGGCTATGAGTGTGTTTGGGCAAAAATGTCTCATATTGGATCAATCCATATAGGAAATAGGCCCCTAAACAACGCTGCCATACTCCACATTTAATGTGGACATATTGTCTTCGCTTATAGTTAATGGTTTAGTGTTGGGCCACAATTTATTTGCAGGAATTGTTTATTTAGTCATAAAGAATAATCTTTTTCAGAATTTTGCGACCTACGTTATCTTCAAACTTTTGAAAATTTGCAAGTTCACGCACACAGGACAATATTCTCAGAGATTTTTAAAAACTTTGATGAGGTTGTTCATGGAGCCCAAAAATGAAACCAAATTCCTATATTTTCGGATTGTAAGTTTTAAACACGTTTTTCGTATACATCTTTCTGTTCACATTTTGACTGTTAAAACTTTTTGAGATCTACTAATCACCGACAAAAGCAGTATTGTGTCAATTTCACTTCTTGGGGTAGATATTAGTAACTGAGATTGCTCAGCCGTGTAGGGGTACCTACAAATAAACATTAGCTTTACTTTATATATCTTCGTGAATTTGAACAAAACCCTTAATACGCACCTGGAAACAGCTAAATTACGTTGATTTTGATATATTGTGATGTCGGAGACTACACTTAATTGTGGAGCGAGAAAAGGGAAAAAATTGCCATCGAAATGAAAGTAATCGCAATTGGTCTTTGGGTTCAAATACTATAAGCCTGTAATTTTCACAACCTTTTTACGATTCAGTAATTGATGACCCGAGGGATGTCTGCTGTTCTTACTTAATCCAGTAGTTATCACGCTTCCTTAATAGGTCACAAAAATATCCCCCATTTTATTCAATTGGTTATTTAAAGATTATAGTAAAGAGATGTCTAATGTTGTAATGAGTTATTGGATTCTTCTCTGTAAAGGGGATTTGTCCGCTTGAACAGGGACGACGTTTTCGTGACAATGTACGATAGAAAATGAGTTCGATCATGTCATCGCAATAATTTATTTATCAATGTCGTATACAATATATATTCAATATACAGCGCTAAACAATTCCAAACTATAAAAGTCATTTTTTTTAATTATAACTAAACAATATAGTTGCAGGTACCATAAATACTTTTTCGTGTTGTTGTAGCAATGTCTTGGTTTACAATTTAAGCTGATATGTATTCTGAAGCTGAAGGCAATTTGGTATCAGGGAGCCGCGGTGGCTCAGTGGGTAAGGCGTTGACTGGCTAACTCGAAAGTCACGTATTCGATGCCGGTGTTGGCCGATAAACTTTATCGGGATTTTACGGCGTGGTTTCCCCTTGTCAGTGACGCAGGGCAGAATTTCATGTTACAAGGTATGTTCAGATGGTAAGAAAAACCGAGGTCTCGCGTACACCTTAGCATGCACGTAAAAGACCTCTTGACAGACGGCCGTAGTGCCGCTGTCCGGGTAAAATTTCCATCGTATGGCGTATACCCATTAACCCAGCCGGAGCAGAACAGTAGGACGTTTCATTTCTTTTTAATTTGATATCAGAAGAATGTGTACTATCTTGTTTGTAGACATGTTAAATTTGTTAGCATAAATATGGATCAAGAAAACAAATTCCAGATAAATGTACCGTGAATCGATGCATCAGTCTCATATATAAAACTTGGCGGACGTTTTGACAGTGTTACAGAAACAAAATATATTTTTATATACAGTGATACATACACTTTTATACAGCCTGTCATATAAAACGTCAACTTACTTGTCATAATTTCACAGATATGGTGATATATTAATTAGGAAACATAGAGGTAGTAAGGACAGTTAAATAGTTAATGAAGTCGCTTAAAGCATACAATATTGCGAAAGTTAAATCTCTAAATCGTGCAATTCCGTCCAAGAGTTACAATGATATGATGAAATGAAAATACGCAACATTCGTAATCCTCTGAAAAGGATATGAACAAGCCAGCGCCACCCATAAGTGTGATGGATAAAATCTTTTTAATCTATTTAATCCAAACCGGGATATTATCTACAGTTGATATTTTCTTAAACATGCGCATTATGCAAGAACTAAATCTGCCTATTGCAGGTCTTTCTTTAAAAATTTTGTCTAAATTATTAATTAGTCAGTAATTAACTTATATTACCAAGACCATAATCAACATTCGATACCATAGTTAGCCTGCGATATTTAAAGGATTTGAATACGTTTTGTGATGGATAATTTAACGTAAAAAGGGGTAATCGAGACTTTGTTTATCATTGTACCAACGGTAGTAATGACGACCGAGGCTAGCCTAAAATTGAATCGCTAATATCTCGGTTCACAGTGAAGCAATTTGACTGAATTTTTCAGCATATTCTGTTTTCATTATCCACTTTTTAACTCTGTCAGCTCTTTGTCTAATCTTAACTAATGCCCCTTTAATTAAATGTTACATAATAAATTTGAGTACATTTTAACGTGGATTTAGTCATGCAAATTAGATGGCGTCCGAAAAATGCAAATGACGAAATGAAATGAGGTTCCACGTGTTACTGTTCTGCTCCGACAGGGTTAATGAAGACGGGAGTACGCCATGCTGTGTTCAATCAGGGAAATTTTTGCTCGGACAGCGGCGTTACAGTCTACTCTTATATCGAATTCCAACTGCCAAGGGTTCTTTTATGTGCACACCAATGTGTACACGGGATATGGACATTGTTTTTTTCGTTACATCCGAATGAATATATTATGTTGTCACTTAACAGGCCCTCGTCCTGCCCCACAGAGGATGGGAAACCACGCAGCTAAATCCAGATGAACTTTCTCGGTCTCACCCACTGAGCCACCGCTGCTTCGACCAACGGCTCTAAGTAAAACAATCTTAAGATAAATGATTGCCGTCAAATCGATAAAGATAACAATGTCTTCAGCCAAATTAAAGGTGCCAATACCACTTAGATACAGCGTGGTACTGTAACTCTTTGATGTATAGGGCAATGTCGTTTGAACCGTATAACCACGACATGGTGTGAAGGTATTCGCGTACACTTAAATATTTATGATGTATCACAAATTTGATCCATATAAACTCATTGGGTCAAACCGTGTAAATTACAGTTGGCTTAATTCGGGTGACCAGTTTCTAATCGCTGATATTAATATTCTAACCGATACCTCGCTTTCTCGGCTTTTTACTTTTTAACAACTCCAACCCCACTAACCGTGTTCAAGACCATTAGGGTGCCTGGTCTATTACCAAAATAAAATAAATTGGTTGGATTTTGAAACTAGTAAATGTCTTGTGCACGACATCATATAGTTGAATGGGGTGTTAATATGGGTCTGGATTTAAAAGCCGGGGCTGAGCATGGCAACGTGTTCAGCTATATAGATACAAAAGTATAATCAAGTTAGTTAGCTATATAATGAACTCCTAAAATTTTATACATTAAATGTTTAACTTCTTTGAGACGCCTTCATGATTATTAATATAGATTTTATTGATATGTTAGAATAGTTTCCCTTTAAAACCCGTAGACAAATAATTCACTCAACTAACATAGGCTTTAATCAAGAGTTAATATCAGGATTGGTATCTTTATTCGCATATTGTCCAGACAATAGCTGAACCAACCTGTCGGAATGAAAACTTTATTAGGTCGAATGGGAGACCAAGACATCATTAAAAGTTCAGCGGAGCCGTGGTTTAGTATGGGAATGGGAATGCCTGGATTTAATAGCCGATGCAAGTACACTTATCCAAATAACACGTGTTGCAGTGAAATGAAATGGGGTTTAACGTCCTACTTTTCTATACCAACCGTATAGGGAGCGGCGTTTCGTCCTACGCTAGGTTGAATTCCAAATGCCTATATGGTTATTTTACGTGTACGTCATCTCGTATGGTTCCATGTCTTTTCGTCCCAGTCATACGACTAGAAGCTGTTCTTTGCCAGTCTTCTGTCAGAGAATCCCAGGGAACTTTCGCAAACGGCCAACACTGCGATCGTACACAAGACCGTACACAAGACCTCTTGGGTAGTGAACCAGCACCTTACCCACTATGTCGCTACTCTTCCCGAAAAATCTCAGGACCTGTAGGAGCAGTTTACAAGGAACAGGAAAACGAACGGACGGGCGAATATGGGCGACGAAAATATTTAAATTGAAAGCAACGAAGGTATAAAGTCACCTTGTCCCTGCATCCAGTCCTCACGTATGTTGGGGTAGGCCTTAGACATGTAAATATGGAGCAAAGCGGTCGTTTTGAGATCCGCCACTACTACCCCTCCCTGAAGAGCTGCAACAGATTGATACCAAATATTTGACACAGAGTTTAGTCTCTGTGATCTAGTACATGGACAGTAATTGTAGCTTTCTGTTTGCCAAGAATAGCGGAACGAGGGAAAGGTAAGATGGTTTACTATAGATCCCAAACTAAAGCATTTA